ATTTTCTCGAGTGTAGATGAAAGTGATCAAGATATAATACGGGTAAAATTTACCAGTAATACGAGGAACAAAGCGTGCCTACATTAAATATCTTAATTAGGAGGCTTGTTTACCGGCCTGACTCGAAATAGTCCGAAAAAAACTGTTTTCGACTTTGTATATGGCGCATTCGTCCCGTAAACCGGGCAACGGAGGAATAAAAAAGTCTGTCTATCTTTGTCGCGTAGTTTTCACTGGCTCCTCCGCTGACTTGTATTTGCACACCCAAAATGGTGTCTAAATAAATAAGTGAAAAAGTGTAATTTTCGAGGTCCAGTTTTCATTTAATTAAAGCAAACAATATACACTAAAACTTTAAGTACTTTACGTCATTTTAATTCAATACTTTTTACATAATTTTAGTATATTTTAAATAGTAATTTATTTATTTATTAATAACTTATAGAAAGCTTTATTTTTCAATTCAAAACAGAACTGTCTGCAAAGGTTTCTAACGTTTAACTATTCGATATGTGTATGAGACCTCACCTATTAAAATTTAATTAATATCAAAAGAAAGCAATGAATCAAAAAATCAAATAAAATATAAATTTAAAAAAACAATTAATCCTGATAAAAAAAGAGGTATATGGAAGGACAAGTTTCAAAGAAACGTAAAAAATTACATTTATTATGAAAAATTAGAGAAAAAAAGTCGATAAGTTTGTGACTATTCAACAGGTGATTTTTCAATTTCAGGCGGTAGGGAATTGAAGACACTAGATATATTTTTGATACAAGGCGGTGGTGTCCTGCGGTACAGTTTACAAATCCCGAACGATTTTGAACAACTGACGAGATATGCGATGTCTTCTTTAATGCAGGATCAATAAAATATACCCTAAACAAATGTCATTTAGCGCCAAATCAATGATCTACGCCTTCTTTTTATTCAGTATTCAGTTATCAATTTAATAAGTCTGAGGTGTACATTGAAAAAAGAAGAGGGCCCAAGATGCTGCCCTGCGCAACTGCTCGACCTGTAAATAACAAAGGAGAGGACTGTTTGTTTACCACACGTTTCTGTCGCCTTTTTTTGACATAATTAGCAAAAAAAGCTCAAATGTAGAAAACAACACTATTCTATTGAGACTCAAGAAAGTTATAAACAATGTTTATTTGACTCTCATTGAACGTGGTGCCAGCAAGGAAGCATCTTTAGAAGAGACGGCCACATTGACGAAAATTCCGACATCAACTGCATGGAAAATTGTGAATAATCCCATTTCAGCGATGAAAAAAAGGAGCGATGCTGACATTTTCTCGAGTGTAGATGAAAGTGATCAAGATATAATACGGCGTAAAATTTACCAGTAATACGAGGAACAAAGCGTGCCTACATTAGATATATTAATTAGATGGCTTGAAAAAGATGAAACCGGTGTTAAATGTGGCAGAAATACCTCGTGGAAGTGTATTCAACACATAGGTTTTAGATTTAAAAAAATTGACAAAAGGCAATATCTAGAAAAAATTAAGATTTACAGAGAACAACAAAGGCCAATTATCTGCTTGGACGAAACCTAGTTCGACACTTATGATACCCCGGAAAAGGGTTGGGCTGACTCAACTGATAATTGTAAAACAAACGCGCCATCAAGAAGAGGTAAAAAAATAACTATTTTGCATACTGACTTTAAAGATGGTTGGATTCCAAATGGACTTTCTTTGTCTGCGAAAAATATTAAAGATTCTTCTCTGGATTACCATGAAGACACCACCGCTGATTTATTTGAAAGTTGGTTTAAAAACAAACTAGTTCCAAACATTCCTCCTAATAGCGTAATTGTAATGGACAATGCAAGTTATCACAGTAGACAGTTGACTAAAACCCCTTCCTCAGGTGACACAAAAGCAACAATCCAAAACTACATGTGTAATAACGATATTCATTTTCACGAAAATTATACCAAGAAGCAATTAATTGAGGTTCTACAAAGCTTGAACCTACAAAAGGAATACGTCTCTGATAATTCGTCGTTACAATGTTTTTCCCTGTGTTAACTCCAATGTCCTCAAACTTATAGAAACCGAAGTTTTTAATATCCTTCCATAAAGTTGGGCAAATTCTGTTAAACATATAGAAAAAGCAGAACAATCGTAAATCCATATTGCAAATAATATAGAACAAATAATAATTAAAACAGGCGATGCTAGCGATAGTGATACTGATATATTATGTGAATAATTTTGAGTAATTTAAGTAGGTAATAAAAATAATTTGTAATTTTATTTTAGATTTAAACAAAAATACGTGCACAAATAAATAAATATTGTTTAGTATCTTTCCTAACAAAACCCCAAATAATTAAATTCTAAGCATAGTACGGACCTGTTCGGCCATATTTCATTCTTAGAGCTTGTCCCGGTGTTTTCCTAATTCGTCACTTTTTTATATCTATGAACAGACTTTAATTAAAAAGGTTACCAAATTTGTTTCATACTGTGCTTTTTCTACGACCATTAGTTTGTGGGTACATTCACTGAGTGACCTCTGACATGATTGTCAGAATTGACAAACGTCAAGCCGCTAGTAACATTACCGAAAACATCCGATCGCTCCCAAACCTGTGGCTAATATCCCGGAAATGTCCGAAGTGGCTCGCAGCCGTAGGTAACGAAACTGACGTCACAAAACGACACTTTATTTATATTATACGTATACAATTTTCCACCCATCTCCATTAGCGTTGCCCGGCAATTAACTCATCTTCCGCCTACTGGAATTAAATAGAAAAAAAGTGTTTGTGCCCGCGCGTGTCGCATGTCCTATTTGCGTCAGTAAGCATTGGTTTTGGCGGGAATAATTACCGGCATGGGAAAAAGACACGAGAAAGCAAATTCCCCATAACTATAACGGTGGCCGTCGACGTTCCACAAAAGGACGACGATGATTGATAAAAATTGCCGGCTTCGCGAGCTACGATTAGCCGTTTGATGGAGCGTAGCTTCTTTTTGTTCGTTCGACTACACCGGCACACAATTTCTACGGTCTCTTTGCTTTCGTTAACCTCGTATATGCAGCCAAACACAAAGTCAATAGCCCAAGTTCAATATACGGTGTGTTTAAATTCGAGGCTATTAGATAATATAGCAATTATTTCCCTACACCCAAGTTCTTGGAAAATCTGTTTCTCTTACATGGTTAACTGTGGAAAATGATTACGGAACCAATTTATGTTTACGCAAGATCATTATTTGATGAGTTCGACATGGCCACTTCCAATACCGCTTGTCTACCGACATTGTTGGATATCTAGCGAAAGAACCCAAAATAGCTATTTCAATATTTTCATTATTTTTTAATTTTTTTATCAACGGACCAACCGCCCAATATAAAATGAGATTCACATAAACAAAATAGTAAAAAACAAAATAAAATTAAATAAAACAATATGAAATAGATAAAGACCCAAAATTAGTATGACAAACATTGTTTACCCAAAATATTAATATTAATATAGGAGTCGACACGATAATAAGAACATATATATATATATATATATATATATATATATATATATATATATATATATATATATATATATATATATATATATATATATATATATATATATATATATATATATATATATATATATATATATATATATATATACATGTTTTGTTTTAGGCTTCCGCGGGTCTTATATGTGAGGTGTAAATTTTTTCGGGTTTTACTCCGCGTCTGGTCTGGCTGGCTCCAAGTGGAGGTAGTCCTCTGTTGTACCGGAGGACGCCAGTATTTTTCTTATTTTAAATGTAACACCCTGTGTATTATTCATTTTTTTCAGAAAATTTCGCGGTAGGTTCAATCAGGTTTTTTTAACCGAATTTCAATATGTTTTAACATATTCTGATTGTTTTGAAAATAACATTATTTTTAGCACTGCTCCTTTTTTCGCAATGTACGAGCCTTAACTAATTGTTCGGACGATGTACGAAATAATAAGAAATCAAAAACATACCGATTGAAGCTTCTTGATAAAATTTGTTGGTATTTTTCTGCATTTACAGTACCATCAATGAACTCGTAGTTGCCAACCCCTTTACCACTTATACACACACTGACATCTCAGTTGTCGTTTTGGATGGTTTTAGTGGCTAATAAAATTTTCGAAAAAAAAACGATGATTGTCTTTATTGCATATAGATACAAAGTGTATTTTATAATAACCTATGACCAGTGACCGACATTGGCATTACATTTTTTAAGGGTCATGTGGGCGTCTGTCTCTCCGAATCTCGCTTTCAATAAATAAAACAATCCACATGACCGCTGACGTCCACTGCAGCTTTTCAAGTCGAATTTAAACACGCTGTACGTGGTTCCTCACTAATGCATACATTTTCGAAAATTTAGAAACAAAAGCGTCAGGAAAATCAACAAACTCTTATTGTATTTAGATAACCACCGATGGAACGACCTTTTGGTGTGTTTAAAGAAGTTATCTTATAAATTGTCTGCCGATAATTATCGAGAGAAATCGATTAACAGTGTTAAATCGTCTTAACGCCGCGCTCGAGTCGTTCGTAAAAATATGGAGACCACGCCTCTTTTACATAGTCAGGTAAGATTAAGTGTGTGAATTTTCTAAATGGCAGTTGCGTCGCGAATGATTTTTAAAGCAATAGAATGGACGCCCGACTGCACACGTAAATTTTACGCAATTCTACAATACTACGTTTGGGTCGTCGCAATAGGATCGGATGTGGCGCAATGTTAAAATATAAGTACCATATTTTTTTTTTTGCAAGGAAAAGCACGCCAATGCCTGTTGCTATCAAAGCTTGCCTAAACCGTAATTAAACCCAGACCATTTAAAAACATAATAGGTATTAAAATCTGTTAAGTGAAATGGAAATTGTTTGGCGATGAGGTAAAATATTTTTGGTCGATATGGGTGAGCTCTCCGATTGATCGTAACACTGCCCTTTCAAGTTATCTGTGTTGATTTCAGGCTCCCGCTGCCGGACGAGGAACGATGGGCCTTTATAAACAGTATTTCCGATTGACTCGACATGCGAAAAATCAATTGTTGGGCATCGATCCGAAAAATCAAACCGTCAAAAATGGTATTCCGCTGCAGATGCTCGTTTCGCAGCAATTCAACCCCGGTAAGTGTCTGCGGATGTACAAAACCGCTTAAAGCGACTTGAAATTTAATTTTTTCCGAAAAACAATAAGGATTTCTAACCAAAACTTTATTATTATTTTTAATATTACAATGTTTAAATATATTATTACAATATATATGCAGTTACCAATTACAATATCACAATATCTATTTGACCTACCCACTTAATTTTTGGTTAGTTTTTCAACATATATAAGAAGCAGATTATAAACTTTTTACTCTAAATTAATTATTGTCTGCTGCTTCTAAAAAAAAAAACAGGATATAAGTAATAATAAGATTTAGTGTACTGCAATGTAGTGTAATAATAAATGAACATCAGACAAATGTCCACCATTTTTACCAGAACTCCAGGAGATTGACTCTTTTTAACGCGTTTTCAATTCCAGCTGTCTAATAGTCGCTAATGTACACTTTCCATTTTAAATATCCCCATGAAAAAGTCGGTACGGCATTAAATGTGACGAACGAGCCAAGAGAAATCTGATTTTTTCAAGTTTTCAATCATTGTTCTGGAAAAAGCTTCGGAAATCGTTTCCGGAGTTCCATCCTATCGGCCATAACACATCACACATCCAGGAGAATGTTGTGGATGGAGGAAAAAAGCTCTTCCGCTGTGTTCTTAATATGGCAGGATTTTTCACCACTTTTTTGTTGCTAGCAACAGGAACTAGTACTTGTTAGTATTGCTACTGGATTCTTCATCTAAAATCACCCAATCTATCGGAATTTTCCTTGTTTTTGCGATCATCTGAACTTTGACTAAAGCTAATCTTCCTTTTGCGAAGTAAACTGAATTTAATTGTTACCTTAATTCGGACTAAGTCACAAAAACTTATTTGCAGTCTTAAATCAATCTTAATTTAAAAAATGGGGCTTAACAAGCAAGAAAAATGAAATAAAATGCAGCATAACCTAGCATCACTGTCAAAGCAAACTTCAGACAAGACAAACGAAAGGCACGTTTACACCCACCCACCGTATGCTGTGTTACCTATATACCTCGTTTTCGACTAAGTCAGAATTTATTACTTGTTTTTCGGAAAAATCAAAACCCATTGTTTGTTTTCAGTGCATGACTTTTGGGCGCTTTCGTAGGAATGCGTCGACCGGCACTCAATCTTAAAAATTAGACGTAACGGACATTTTATTTGCATTTTGCCGATATCGCGTACATATCTACTGTGCGTTGCCCAATCGCTAGCCACACGACCGGGTTCCGATTCGAAAGTGAATTTTTTCAATTTTGCAACGTTTTCGTACGGAGCCGATATAAATATGTTAAATTCCTCGAGTGGTCGCGCTTTTTCCGAATAACTCTTATTTTGGGATGTTTCGATTTATGCGTGCAGGCTACTTCAATTTTATAACGTTTGCGGTGTTGCCAGAATAACGCATTACGTGTCTAAAATAGTATCGTAAATATAAAAATAAAATTATTTGGTTTTATGTCGGAAAAAGTTGTAAAATATGCTTCTTTTGTTTGTCTGATATGAGCCAAGTGTCCGGTTATATTAGTCCTTCCATCATGGGAAAAGTTTCCGATACCCTGAACATAGCTGAACTGGCATAACTGTCAAAAAGCCAAATTTAAGCAAAGCAAAGGGAAGCCAGGTTTACACCCACCCAACGAATGTTGTATTGCGTATATATTACTACAAAATAAAGGAAAACAAAGTTAACCTCACATTTTAACGTAACGTCAACGTTAAACAAGGCAAAATTGTTGGATTCAATATAACGCTTCGAAAATTACGTCATAACACGGCCAAAACAAGGGCGAAATTTGGAAAGAGGTGCAAAAAATCCTGAACACAAACCCTTGCGGCCAAAAAAAAGAGGGCAACGACAGGTAGCCAAGATATACGTTACGACTGTCGATTATCTAATAATAATAAACGTCCGATATAAAACAAAGCCAAAACATTATCGGATTTGGGTTAACAACTGTCATCTTCGAGTGCACCGGCTCCGACTTTCACTCTCGTGCACGCTGCCAATTTGCAATATAAGATTTCGTTGTGTAAAGTCGGCGATGGCGGGGAGGGGTGTGGGACCTTGACGTTGCGCAAACGGCACCGCCGCACAGTAGTTTCTGTATACGCGCGACGGCGTCAAAAATACAATTTTTACTTATTTTGCAAATTTGCTGAAACAATAGTCTGGATGGAGGTCAGAAAAAATTAAAACGTGCATTTTGGTAAAAAAAAATTATTAAAATATATAACGGGTGTGACACGGAGAGCCACTTACCGTACAAAATTAAATTATTTGAAGAGGACTGATACCATTTTACAGTTGAAGTCATTTCTTCTGGATAACATTGTTTTTTGTATCATTGTAATCACTGAAGAACTAAAAGTCTCTATATTGCGCTTTTGGTTACTAGGCAGTTGTCGATTATTAACTTTAACTTTAGCGGTCTACGATTTATTTTCCGTGGACTTACATATTTCCAAAACTTCCAAAGTTGGAACGATACAATTTAATTTTTAGGGCTTTGTGAAACATACAGAATTCAAAAATACTAACACCAATGGGAACTATTTTATTAGATACGATTTTTCGTAAAAAGTACTGAAACGCTTAAATATAATGCTAACAGCAGTGTTGCCAAAATTCGAAATACGCAATTCAATGCAACAAAATGAATATGGTACAAATTTAAAATGTCAAAATTTTGACGTGGAGTGTAAAAGTGGAAAATCTGACAACATTGCTTGCATTAAGTATAATCACTTGGTAATTTTAGTTATTTTGTGAACATTTACGATATAAAGATTGCAATATTAAAATAGCGCCACCCTCTATACAAGTTTACGTTGTTTAATAAATTAACATTTGTGTGTGCGGTTAACCCAAAGCATAATTTAAAGATCAAATGTGCAATAGCACTTCAAACATTGCATTATTTACATACGAGGTGAAAATGACGCAATAATAATTAGTTCTTAAGGCCAATTTTTTTTTCCTAAAATTGTCACTAACTAGTGTCAAAATAAACATAAAAATTCCGTTTTGTTAAATAAATATACAGGGTGAGTTAGAAGTCGCGCAACGTAGGAATTTATCAGACTTAAATTTTGTATACGGGGGTTTCTAATTAGACTAAATCTAATTAGTGACTAAATCACCAAACTTTCTTATTTTAAATAGAAATGTATGTTTTTATTCCATTTTTGAAAATTTAAACAATTTTAATGTAATATACCCATATTTATCCGTCCACCATCCGTGCGATGTGATTGGTGGGTTTGAGGAGGGCCTGTCGACTTCGGTAACGATGTGCGACCTCAGCAAGGCATCCGACTGCGTGGATACTAATATACTTCTTTCTAAACTTATTGACAGGAAGAAAGCAATATGTTGTCTGGAACGATCGGGAATCCACTCTGTTGGACATTACTAATGGGGTGCCTCAGGGTTCCATCCTTGGTCCACTTTTGTTTATAATATATATAAATGATGTGGTATTTGCAACAAATGCTGCTAGCAGTATACTAATTAACTAATTTAAATAAAAAGGCTGTCACTACACTCGCCATGATTGAGCAGTGGTTCTCTGCAAATAAACTGAAATTAAATTCCGATAAAACAAATACTCTGATTTTCAATACCAATCGAAGAAGTAAAAAATCTGAAACGGTTAAACTTGAATTTGTTACTCATCGGGCACAGTAGATCTAAGTTATTTTAAGCTATTTTATAAATTATTATTATTATTATTATTCTTAGATTGTTTTACTTTCTGGTTTGGTGGTTTGCTGTGTATATGTAATATATTTATCTTGTTTGTACTCTTCCCGACGTCAAAAATACGTTTTTGTATTTGTAAGTGGTCACTAAACGATAATTTATTTATTTATAATTACAGCTAAAAGTTTATTTATTTACGACATAATTATTGATATCAACGAATTGGCAAACTTAAATAACAATAAAAACTATTATATTTAATGGTCAACCTGACGTCCTTCTGCATTCGGTGTTATAGCTAACATTTAAAAAAAATGGTAGGTCATGATTTTGATCTGAGAAACAATTGAATTTGTTCTTTTTTGGTTGTCAAGCTTTCGATTGATTGAGTTTATCGTACATCAATCATAAAAATGTTTTTATGCGAATCCGAACGAATTCAAATAGTCAATATCGGAAAGGTTCCTATCGTGAAATGTGTGAATTATTTCAAGCAGTATACCCAACTTACGAAGTCAACTGTGGTCGGGTTAGTTTCAAAATTTACAAATACTGGGATTGTAAAAGACCACTCAAGGGCATAAACTCAAGAGCAGTTATATTTTTCTACTCCCTCTTCTCGCGTGCAGAAAGTGTCATTTACCAGATCAGTTTCCTACGACTGCGAGCCACATTGCATATTTCCGGCATATTACGGATTTGGGAGCAATTGTACCCATAAACTGATGGTGGTAAAAACACTTTTTAAGTTACACGTTTATTATGCACCCCGCTCATCACTTGTGACTCAAATGTTGTTTTCCACACTTGTTGCGTAATATAAGGGGTGTTTTTTTTTGTGGCATTACATTTTAAATATGATTTCTGGCATATGGCCGCCACGGCTGTCGCGGATGTAGTCCAATCTGGACGTCCAATTTTCGATTACTTTTTCCCATATTTGTGGCCGTATATCGGCAATAACACGGCGAATATTGTCTTCCAAATGGTCAAGCGTTTGTGGCTTATCCGCATAGACCAATGACTTTACATAGCCCCACAGAAAGTAGTCTAGCGGTGTTAAATCACAAGATCTTGGAGGCCAATTCACAGCCAAAACGTGAAATTAGGCGGTCACCAAACGTGCCTTTCAATAAATCGATTGTGGCACGAGCTGTGTGACATGTTGCGTCATCTTGTTAAAACCACATCTCCTGGACATCGTGGTTATTCAATTCAGCAGCAGAAAGAGTTAGTAATCATAGCTCTATACCGATCACCATTGACTGGAACGTTCTGACCATCATCGTTTTTGAAAAAGTACGGACCAATGATTCCACCAGCCCATAAAGCGCACCAAATAGTCACTTGAGGATTAGCTTTACTCCAAAAGAGGCAGTTTTGTTTGTTGACGTAGCCATTCAACCAGAAGTGCGCTTCATCGTTAAACAAAATTCGCTTATGAAAATCTGGAACAACGGCAATCTCGTTTTGGGCCCATTCGACGAATCTACGCCTTACTTGATGATCGTTTGGCTTCATTTCTTGCACGAGTTGGATTTTGTACGCACGTAAACCAAGATGCTTCCGCAAAATCTTCCATAAAGTGGACTCATTCGGGTCTTCCTCAATGCTACGCTCTACAGCAGCAATAGCTTCTTCTGTACGCACCGTACGGCGTCTCTGGGGATGCGAGTTATCAATAAGAGTGAAGTTATGGTTAATTGAATTAACTGCTCTAATGGACGATTTTGTCGACGATAAAATGGACGTAGTGCGCGATACGTATTCCGCACAGAACCATTATTTTTTAAATAAAATTGCACCATTTGCAAGCGTTGTTCAGGCGTGAGTCTATTCATGATGAATTGCCAAACCAAACTGAGAATAAATCACTTGACAGATGTTAAATCGGTCACCATCTTGAACATTAATGCCAACTTAAAGTTCTAAACATCGAAAAAAAACAACCGTTACTATTTTGTAAAAAATACGAGTACAATATTAAATATCGCAAAATCGCAGATAATCGAATTATTGGCCAGAAAACATATATTATTTATCATCAACTTCATACTTTTTTGTACATGTATTCTATCGCGTATTGAATCAAATGGCAAATATGGTGGCGATTTTTTTATTTTTATGACTCGGCAAAAACTAACACGCGCCGCCGCTGGAAAAATTCCCCCCCGATGATGACGGTTCGGTTTGTTTTGTTTCAGGTCGCCTGACTGTAATTGTGATAGGACTGTTCACTCTCGCGATAGGCATTATCCTGTCGTCGATACCGTGGCTCGATTACATAATTTTAAAGGTAAGTGACGCATACGAAGTAAGTATTAACTTGTGTTCCTTAAATACACTAATGAATATTTGGTGGACTTAAAAACAAACTTTAACTAATAAAAAGAAACAATAAACAAGTCACTGGCAGAAGTCGAACTCACGCACATCTCCAAGATCTAAAAAAGAAATCCACAGGTTTTCCTGATTTTTATGAGATTTTTCTGACTTTACTTTAACTAAAAGTTAAAACTAGTTTGAAAATCAAAATAAATAAGAACTAAAAGTTCAGCTTTTCACGAAATTATATATTTGGACATGACAATTGTTTCGACAACATCGTGTCTTTATCAAATGTGAATGTGATTTGAAACATTTGATAAAGACACGGTGTTGTCGAAACAATTGTCATGTCAGAATACATAATTTCGTGAAAATCTGAACTCTTAGTTCTTATTTATTTTAATAAATGGATTTTCATCAAGTAAAAGCCACCTCAGTTCAATAGATTGACACAGCATCCGTACATACTGTAAAATTGACTGAGAAGTGCAGGTTTACTTTCCGAATTTTTTTAAAATTTTTCTTTTACTTTTAATGTCATCTTTTTTTCTAATTAAATTTTTCTTTTAATTTAATTGCGTTTTTTTTTATTTTTATTTTTCTTTTAATGTCATATTTTTTTATAATTTAATTTTTCTTTTAATTTAATTGCGGATTTTTTTTACTTTTCTATTTCTTTTAATGTCATCTTTTTTATAATTTAATTTTTCTTTTAATTTAATTGCGTTTTTTTTTACTTTTTTCTTTCTTTTTCTTCTAATTTAATTGAATTTAGGAGTTTTGGTTTAGTTCAGTTGGTTTAGTTCTCGAAATCAATTCCGGGCCGACACCATTGGCGTGTGTCCGTCGTCCTTTCGCCTTTTTTCCGACTCATTGTTTCTCGGTAGTAGAATACGATTTCCTGGCGTACCATTTCGGCCCCCAGGAAATGCCGGAACAGCGCGCGGCCGTTCCGAAAGCGACCGCTTTTGCGGGCTAGTGTGTCAAACACAAGAAACATAGAATGCGATTTTGCAGAAGAAAAAACACGTCGAATAATTAACACTTTTACAAGGTTATTTGCGAATGGCGACTGACAATCAAACCTCGTACTCTTATTTGGTGAATTTTACGGTTCTTTTCGATAGAGTTTTTATCTATGACGTTTCGTGGGATACCACAAAACGGTGTTTAAGGTTGCGGATAACATTTGTGTAAATTCATTTTTCCGATTTTATTCTACACTTTAACCAAAACTGGATAAAAACGTTATAGGAATGACCTCGTCCCAAAATAAAAATCAAACAACGTATATCATTTTTGGTCAGTTTAATGATTAGTGATTGGTGATCGATGTTTTGGAACTATTTTGGCACATTCAGTGTTCTATATACCCCAAAACTAAGCAAAACTACTCGAAATTTTAAATAACTTTTGTCCACTGCTTTGGTTCATAAAAACAATATACTAACTGATAATTGTTTTTTTCAAGGGACCTACATTTCTGTGGTTCGTCTGTATCGACAGTGTTCTGACAGAGCCAATGTCATTTTTACAAAACTTAATCGATATCTAGATAAAAACGTTTCTTTAAGAACAAATACTTTTGAGTTTCTAAAATACAAATACAGAGGAGACTACTTCTTCTTCTTCTTTTAGAAGGCGTATCGCCTGTTTAGTTCCGGTTTCCTCCTCGTCTAAGCCACTCTTGCGAGGTTGACTGCCAACTATCTCGCCAACGTTTAGGTGGTCGTCCAGTAGGTCTTCTGCCATGGGGTACGTTGTTGCGAATTATTATGGCTATTCTGTCGGGGCCCATTCTACTGACATGCTGGTTCCATTCTCTTCTTCTCTGCCATATCCATCTGACAACGTCATTTGTTTGGCACTTTTCTCTTATGTCTACATTTCTCCGTCTGTCCCTCAATGTGTATCCAGTTATCATTCTTAAGGTCTTCATTTCAGTAGTTCGTAGGATTCTCTTTGTTACTGATGTTTCAGCTCTGGTTTCCGCACCATATGTCATCACTGGTCGTACGCAGGTTTTGTATATTCTTGACTTACATTCTGCACTCAAATGTTTGTTTTTCCATATGGGATGTTTAAGATGTCCTGATATTGGGGCAGCTTTACTGCCTTGTTTCCTTACTTCTGCTTCCAGGAATCCAGAGCTTGTAATTTTGCATCCCAGATATTCGAGTGACATTATCTGATCAATAGTTTTGTTTTTTATTACCAATTTGCACCGTAGAGGCTTCTTTGCAATGGTCATGCATTTGATCTTGTCTGTTAAAAGCTTGTAGCATTCTTTGGAGGTCGTCCTCTGACTCTGCAATAAGTACTGCGTCATCTTCATAGCATAATATGTTTACTTTATGTATTCCCATTCGATATCCTAATCCAGTATTCTTAACGGTTTTTATTAATTGGTCCATGATTGTGTTGAATAGCAGAGGGCTGAGGCTGTCGCCCTGGCGAATACCAGTTTGTTCTTATTTGGTTTGTTTTGTTTGTGTTTAAGTCCTTGATAAGTTCTGTGAGTTCTTTCGAGACATCCAGATGGTGATAATGTCTTTTAGTTGGACTCTATCAAAGTCCTTTGTTAAATCTATAAAGCATAGATAGGCTGGAGAGTTATATTCTAAAGATTTTTCAGCCAGTTGCCTGAGTATGAATAATGCATCAGTAGTGGACCGGTTTCTTCGGAATCCTTGTTGTTCCTCGCTTATTGGCACTGTTGAGGAGATTTTATCCGCAATGATCTTAGTCAAAAGTTTTAGCGAGGTGCTCAGTAATGTTATCCCTCGATAGTTTGCTGGGTCTGTTTTATCTCCCTTTTTAAAAATGGGTATTGTTATACTTTGTTTCCATTCCTCTGTTATTTTCTTATATTGTATTGTTAAACAGTTTTGTATATTCCTCTATGATAGCCGTGCCGCGTTTTTTATTAGCTCGTTTGGTATTTTATCTTGATTAGGAGATTTTCTATTTTTAAGTTTCTTTTTTGTCTCGTCTACTTGTTTGTAGGTAATTTGCCCGTGATCTTCTATATTATCTCTTTGGCGTGTGCTTCGATTGGTTCATCTGTTTCTGTGTATAAGTCTCTGAAATATTTTTCCCACGTATCTTCTGCAATTGTCCTTAGTTGTATTGTTTCATTTGTTTCTCGTTTCAGACCCCTCAACATCTTCCAAATACGTTTTTGTGCTCCGTACATATCCGCCTCCATTTCGTTACTAAATCGCTGCCAATATTAGTTAGTTAGTTATTAGTCCCGTTCCTTATTTCGGTGTAGATGTTTCGGTTCTCCGGTGTCGGAGATTTCTTGTATTGTAAGTATTTCTCCTTCTTTTCCCTTGTAATGTTCTTGACTTCTAATGTAAACCGGAGGAGACTACGATTTTTTAAATTTTGGTTAGTTTTTAAATAAAAAAAAAAAAAAATTTTAGATAAGTAAGTTCACAAATTTTGTGGGGACACATGCTGAGAATTTTTTTTTACAGGGTGTTGCATATTTAAAGTACCAAAAATTTGTACCACGGTTGTTTTAAGCTACCAAATTTAAGGACCAAGTTCAGGACATTAAATTAGACTTTTACATCTATCCATTAAAATCGTTATTTTGTCGATACTGTAAAGAAATTGGCAGTATTCTTTACCAAAATGTAGCGAGATATAAAGAAAAACCAGAAATACATTTTTTTTTTAATTAAATATTTCGAAATACCCCCTCTTTTTGTAATAGTGTTGGTGAGGAAGCCCCGCTAATGCTAATGCTAATCTCGTGGTACTATTACTACAAATAACACCATCAAATTTTAACAATAATGACAAAAGGATGTTGTATAGATACATAAATAATAAAATAAACGGTTTGATACGGTTTACAAGAACTTTTCTACGTAAAAATGGATCACTATACGTTACTCAATAGATGATTAAAAATAGCCGTATAACAAATTTGAAAAAAGAGGTGCGATAATTCGATTATAAGGACGGAATGCGCACTGGTGCAGCAGAGTTGAAAATAAGATAACAATTATTATGTTTGCGATCTTTTAAACTTACTGAGTTAGAAAAAACTCATAAACATCATCGAAGAACTAAAACCAACACTCTTAAATTCAATTAAATTAGAAGAAAAAGGAAGAGAAAAATAAAAAAATCCGCAATTAAATTAAAAGAAAAATTAAATTATAAAAAAATATGACATTAAAAGAGAAAGAAAAATAAAAAAAACGCAATTAAATTAAAAGAAAAATTTAATTAGAAAAAAAGTTGACATTAAAAGTAAAAGAAAAATTTAAAAAAAATTCGGAAAGTAAACTTAAGACACGGTGTTGCCGAAACAATTGTCATGTCAAAATATATAATTTCTTTCAAATCTGAACTTTTAGTTCTTATTTATTTCGATTTTTAAACTAGTTTTAACTTTTAGTTAAAGTAAAGACTATGATAAATTTTATTTTAAGCATAGACAAACAAAACGAAAAAATTACGGTAGATAGTGAGAAAATAATGTTTTTTCAATGAGTAGATAAACTCAAAGAACATATTGTCAGAATCAGGAAAACCCGTGGATTTCTTTTTTAGATCTTGGAGATGTGCGTGGGTTCGACTTCTGCCAGTGACTTGTTTATTGTTTCTTTTTATTAGTTAAAGTTTTTTTTAAGTACACCAAACATTCATTAGTGTATTTAAGGGATTGCGTTGTTCCTGTGATCTTATTTTACCGTGTTATATTTTTCACTAATTTTATTTTAACAAACTGCACTAAGATTTCTTTAACTGCGTTGAACCGTTTTATTGTAAACAATAAATATTTCAACAAAACATATTTACTTTATCTGGATGTTAAATCAATTCGATTTAGTTTGTTAATTTAAATCAATAAGTTAAAACATGAAGCGTTGTCGAACAAGGGCCGATTTGGTTAGGCTGATGGTTAGGCCAACCGGCTACGTATTCTCAGGTCGCCACAAAGCTTTTTGTGATGTGAAATCGATATTCGCTAAAATATTGTTTTTGAAAAAAAGCCGATTTCCGAGGTTTTAAAAGTAAAATGACGATATAACTGAACGGCCGACAAGGCGCCGTAACATTTTTGCTCTGTTTCAGAACCTAAAGCTTCGAGAGGGGTCTCTCAGCTTCCACTATTGGCAAAAGCCGGGCGTCATACGACTCACCAAAGTGTACATATTTAACGTAACGAATCCCGACGCGTTCCTCGCGTCGGGCGAAAAGCCAAAGCTACAAGAAATAGGACCCTTTACTTATAGGTAAGGTATACGCGAGCGTGCTTCCGCAATGTCTGGCCGAGCCAACTGCGGGTTTACGATCAAGGCCGCAAATACGGGACCGACCGAGGCCGTTTGAGATGCTCTTCTAAGCGCGGCGCCGCCGCCTTTCGTGGGTACTTGCTACACGCTCACGTCGCCGTTCATTGATGCGGTACGCGCGGATATTGCGCGGCAATGACAGTGAATTCTTTCCGTGGCAGTCATTGATTTCGACTCAGCCTCGCGGTGGTCCGTGACGGGGCGAACTCGCGAATGAATTATTTAATCGACGCCGCCGTTGACGGCACGCGCGCAAAGGGATGCCGCCGTTTGACAGTCGAGACACACGTTCAGTCGTTTATTGTAATTGCCGCTACGTGCCGCTGGTGTTACGTAGTGCCCCGACCCTAACTTATACGCACCTATTGCATGCTTCTTGGTTTTTGACGGCACAACGGTTAGATGTTTTGTTATGGGTAATAATTATATGGATTCCATGGTCTTTTAGGTTCCTTCTTGGGGCAATAAGGGTTTCTGAGAATTATGTTAAATCTCATTTTTATTTTGCTAGTCTTCCGATAATGCCGGTACCTTTAATCTTTATACGCTGTAGCCTTAATGAAATCCATAGAAATAAGACACTTAGATATTCACAACTTTTCCACAAGAAATTCTCATGACCCCCGAGTACCTCGCATTTTACAAAGCTTTCAGCGAAAAAGTTTTTCAGAGGACTATCAAGGCAATGTTTATTAATAATTGCTTTTCTAGCAAATAAATTCTAATTGGAGTCATTTCTCCGACTAAAATCCTGCATCCAACTGGAATCCTGCAGGCGTTTCGCCATTGGCACTTGGCGTCTTCAATGCTCGCGCTCCGAAAACACTTCGAATGTTCGAAGTGTCTGAATATATTGTCAACACGCACGGCATTGGCACTGATATCAGCCGACACATCTACCTGGTTTAACCGCTTACCAAGACGGTATACTTTAAGAAATACCATACCCTTTAGGTCCGTTTACCCTAAATGAAATTTAATAATCGTCGTACCATTTCCTTGAAAACGCAGTTCTTCCAAATTGAGTTTGCTTTTAACGATATTGCCGATTGAAAATGAAACTCTAATTTCAACCCAACACCATCTCCGAGGTCACTGTAACGAAGTACATTTTAGTGTAACGGGTCAGATCAAATTGATCTGGAAATGATTTTATTATGCGTTAATAAAATCCTTCCAGTCAGTTATTTCTTTGCTGTAATTTTAGAAAAATTAACAAACAAAATTCCTGTGTCAATTTACGACATCCAGTAATGAACTAGATAGTCATGCTATGGCATAACTGCTCTGCACGATTGCTCTGACAGGACTTTACCACTGCTCTCTTAAGTATAACTGACAATATATTAATGCGACTGACTAATTTTGGTAAATCATGAATTGCTATTCGCAATTTTGCATTTCATTGGTTTTCCATCTAATTAGAAATGAATTAAACACTATTTAGAGGATAAAGTTCAATGTAAAACAATTATATGGAGTATCACAGGCGACAATTTTGGGCATTTGTCAAGCGTTTGTGGCTTATCCGCATAGACCAATGACTTCACATAGCCCTACAGAGAGTAGTCTAGCGGTGTTAAATCTCAAGATCTTGGAGGCCAATTCACAGGTCCAAAAATTAGGCGGTCACCAAACGTGCCTTTCAATAAATCGATTGTGGCACGAGCTGTGTGACATGTTGCGCCGTCTTGTTGAAACCACATCTCCTGGACATCATGGCTATTCAATTCAGGAATGAAAGAGTTAGTAATCATTGCTCTGTACCGATCACCATTGACTGTAACGTTCTGGTCATCATCGTTTTTGAAGAAGTACGGACCAATGATTCCACCAGCCCACAAAGCGCACCAAACAGTCAGTTTTTCTGGATGTAACAGGATTAGCTTGGCTCCAAATGCGGCAGTTTTGTTTGTTGACGTAGCCATTCAACCAGAAGTGCGCTTCATCGCTAAACAAAATTCGCTTATGAAAATCGGGAACAACGGCCATCTCGTTTTGGGCCCATTCGACGAATCTACGCCTTACTTGATGATCGTTTGGCTTCAATTCTTGCACGAGTTGGATTTTGTAAGCACGTAAACCAAGATGCTTCCGCAAAATCTTCCATAAAGTGGACTCATTCGGGTCTTCCTCAATGCTACGCTCTACAGCAGCAATAGCTTCTTCTGTACGCACCGTACGGCGTCTCTGGGGATGCGAGTTATCAATAAGAGTAAAGTAATGGTTAATTGAATTAACTGCTCTGATGGACGATTTTGTCGACGATAAAATGGGCGCAGTGCGCGATACGTATTCCGCACAGAACCATTATTTTCGAAATAAAATTGCACTATTTGCAAGCGTTGTTCAGGCGTGAGTCTGTTCACGATGAATTGCCAAACCAAACTGAGAATAAATCACTTAACAGCTGTTAAATCGGTCGCCATCTTGAACAGTAATGCCAATGCATCTACGTTCGTGTCTGACAAGGAGAATTCGATATCGTCAGATGTGCACGATCTTAATTTAAGTTCATAAAAAATGTTTCACTTGATCTAATAAATATTTCTTGTTTAAAATTTTCCGAAACAATATGAAAACATTATCAGCTGGCTTATTTAAGTATCAAAATGAAGTATTCCTTTAAAATTAATATTTGATATGTAATTTTTTTACAATTTAATTATTATTATAAACAGTTTTCTTAAGTTAATATTGTAGCAGTGACTCCTTTTCTTTTTCTCTGTACTGTGCACTTTTTGTAGCATTAGCTCAGTTTCGGTGCTGAATTAGGCTTTTTTTAAATTGAATTTTAACCTCTTTTTTGTAATATTGGTTAGTTTATATACTGTTGCTGATTATGCAAATCCTTAAACCAAACAAACTGCTATTATTATTATTATTATTATTATACGATTACATCTCAGCTCTCACTGGTCTGTTTTCACCCGAGGCTTTGCTTGCTGCGGGCTCTCTGAACTGTCTGTCTGTCTGTCCGTATTCCACGATGTTCGGTGGAAGTCCGATCTTTTTTAAATTTTTGGAGAAGTTTTTGGAGACAATTCCCTCCACGGAAATTACAAATGGATAGATAAACACTTTATTTTAAAAATTTTCGTATTTTTGTATTTTTTCTGTTTCAGTTTTACTGATATTGTGGGAGAGTAGATTATGAAGGCATTTTTCTTTTCTTTGTCTATAACAACGATATCGGGTTTATTGTAGTCCACTGTTCTATCCGTTGTAATAGGTCTATCCCAGTACAGTACAGCTCTGCCATGTTCGAGTACAGCCGAGGGCTGGTATTTATAATACGGTTGGTATGTTTCTAGAAGGCCATACATTAAGGCTAGTTGGAGGTGCATAATTTTAGCAAGTTGGTTTCTGCAGTTGTCCTCCACGTTGAGTTGGAGACAGTGTTTTTTCTGTCTTGAATAGCCATAATAAAGCCGCCAGTCTCGGGATATAGATGCCAGCGTTCAACCAAGCCAGCGAGGCGACCTTATCGATGTGATCTGCATCCAGACTTCTGAGGAATTTTCCATGTAGAGTTTGTTGTCTCCACAAAGTTTGGTTCTCCTGTCTCGTGTTCAGATCAAACGTGATTTCTCGGTGCTGCAAATTAAGTGGCGTGAACCCTTTGTCCTCCTCGGCGATCAAATGTATTAAGCGGTTCTGCGAGTCTAGAAGTCGCATAGACTATAGATGGTCACTAGACCTCTGCTTCCGCTTTTTCTGGGAAGATAAAGCCTTTTTACCGATGAATTTGTGTGCAAGCATCGGAATTTTGTCATCAGACGGCGGGTTAGTCTGTCTAACTCATCAAGGTCCGATTCGGACCATTTCAATATCCCAAAAGTGTACGTGAGTACAGGAATAGCCCAGGAATTGATAGCTGTGACCTGATTCTTGGCGGTGTTTAATACTTTGGTAATCCTGCTCTTGTATTTTTCGGTAAATACTTTTTTCAATTCGTAGGTTTTGAGTTATCCCTAAATATTTATAGGTTTCATGAGGTGGAGCTCATCAATATCCCGATACGGCTCCTCCGCATCTGCAACACCCCGTCTGTTAATCTTGATTTGTCCAGCCCTAAAGATATACAGATGTCTTGTGAGAAAGTCCTCACTGCTTCAATCAGCGCTTGGAATCCCGTTCGGCTCTCGCTGTAGAGCTTCAGATCGTCCATACGGGATAGCTTTGTCTTTCTCTATTGTTGATTTTATATCCAATGCCGAAGTCATTCAGAAGGGTTGACAGTGGGTTCATTCCCAAGCAGAACCACAACGGTGATAAAGTGTCACCCTGAAATATGCCTCTAGTTATGTTTACTTTTCCAGCGCTGTTATTGTTTAGCAAAATGTTGGACTTCCATGTACCCATCATGTGTTTAAGCACATTTCTCACTTTGGGGCATATGTTATATACTTCTAGCACTTTTATGAGCCAATCATGAGGGACTGAGTCGAAAGGTTTGCTGTAGTCAATGTAACATATATTTAAGTTCCTTTTCCTAGTTTGAACCTGTTTTAGGACTACAGCGTCAATGGTTAATTGATGTTTACATCCATTATTATTATTATTGTTTTTTTTGTTATTATTATTAAATAGTAAACCTTGGGTTCATTATCGTTACTGCTAACTGCACTTAGGGAATTAATGTAGTGTAATTGACCTAACACATATCACATACACAATTTGATAAACGTGCTCGAAATTTGATAAACGACTAACTTAGACAATATTTCTGACAAATACGTGAACCATGACACCAAGTTGAACACCATCACTCCGCAAATATGTTAATTTATCGACCAGATATTCCAACCCATTTTCATAAATCGATTCCATACTTGATTTGTGATTTGAGGTCAGATCGGACCCATTTTAGCTCACAGTATGATTTCGTTGACCGCATATTGCGGAATACCCAAATATGTTTGATCCGACAATCCAGT